TCATCCACAAGCCCACTTCTGCTGGCGAGCCTTCTCCCCACCACTGGCCTGTGATCGCTGTGGCGCGCCCCTCCTACCGAGTCGTACTTCTCACATCGGACACGCCCTTCGCAAGCCTTGAACAGGATACGATCCGTCCAAGCGGGCGCCCGCTTCTTGGGCGAGGTGTCGTACCGGTCCCGGCCCTTGTTGAACTTGAAGGTGGGTAAAAAATGCACGGGACTTTCCACCATCCCCTCAAAAACCCGACGTTTTTCCAGCCGTTCGATGCTGAGCTGGTCATATTCCAGGAGACGGGCCACCGCTTCCTCCAAGGAGACCTTGGCGTTCTTGACCCGACGCAAGGGCACTTCGATGTCTTCCCGCGGAAGTTCCAAACGGTAATTCAAATCTCCCAGGAAAAAGAAACGGTCTACCTTTTTCACCAGCGCGGAAGGCGGAGGTTGGTGGGGTTGTCGCTCGGGGAATGACGAAGAGAGGGGGATCGATTCCTTGGACGCACGGGCCCTCCTTCCTTCCCGCCCGGGCAGTGAGAACGCAAGGAGGCTCTGCACCTCCGTCATCACCCGGTCCACGTCCCCGTTCCGATCTTCCACCCGATGGGCATGGGCCGCCAAGTGGGCGTTGATAAAGAGGAAGGACGTGTGCGTCGCTACCCGGAAGAGCACGGCCTGGCCCCCTTTGTTGTGCAAGAGGTTGCCCACCCCACAGGGGACCTCGCAGACATGGAGGGGGGAGAGGTAAGGAAGGAGGGGTCGCTTGGCCAGCACCGCCAGCTGCATCCCCCCCAGCTTGGTCAAACACAGAAGCATGTGGGTCCGGCCGAAGACGTGGAGGAGAAGCCGCCGCCACTCCCGGGAACGCGATCCCTCGTGTCGTCGGGGTTTTAAATTCTCGAGTTCCTGGGCGCCGACGACGCACAGGTCCGACCGATGCACCTCTGCACTACGGGCCACAAGCACCACGTCCGACAAGGACGGAGACTTCTCCGCCATGTTCCAGGTCACGATGCTTACTGTCAGATTTGAAGGGAGCTGTCGGGGTGGGCCAGGGGCCGGTAGGGGAGACGGAAGGAAGAAGAAAGTAAGGCGTGAATAGCTCGGCGGTCAATGTCATGAACGAGGCTCCACGCACCAGAGGCAATTTTTTCTCCTCATTCATGCGGTGTATCCGGCTTTTTTTCACGCCTGTTGGTTTGCGTGGAAAAGGAGGACAATTAGATGACTACCCCGTTGTTCAGATATTCTCAGTTTTAGAGGTACGGGCTACAAACCTGCACCATGGAATGCCATACGATGCATTAACGACATGGGAATTTAGTCGCTGCCGGTAGCATCGACGGAAACCTACCTCCACTCGGGACAGACAGGGTTCGAGCAGTGGATGCTCCCCACGGGGCACTTCCACTCGCGTTGGTCTTCAAAATGCTGCATGCGAAGGCTAAAATGAATGGCAAAACGCGCCGCAAAACAAATTTAAGGCAACTGGCCATCCCAGGATGCGCCGGGCGGGCACGGATAGACATGGCTGCAGTGGGAGACCGACGGCGCAGGAGACGAGGGCTTGGTCTTGTGGCCAAACAGGTCGAGCTGACCCAAGGACGTACACGCGGGCTTCAGGTCGACGACATTGACAGGGCGCAGTACCAGTATTCGCAGACTCCTGTCCATGTGGATGAAACGGCAAAATGAGCCTTCTTGCGTGCACGTAGACACACAAACACTCCACACAGGACATATTACTTGGCGACGTGAATGGGAATGATCGTGATGGCGTCATCGAGTCTCCCTTGACTCAAGTGACTTCCGAATCAATGGCACGTGGCGTGCACGATGGGTAGAAAATCTGCCAAAACGATGCTACAGCAATGACATTTATACGCGATGTCTAACTGATTGTCTTCACACAATAATTTGTCCTGGCGCGGGCCTGATGGCAGCTGTTGGGCAACAGCATGGAATGGAAGGCCTTATCAACACTTGGGACGGCAAAAAGGGGCCGACACACAGAAGGCGGACGGACAGGAAATGCGGTGGGTGCTCCTGCAGCGCAGAGGGCAGTGTCCAAGACCTGCTTGGCCATTGCTCTGACGATAAGCGTGCTCATAAGAATAGAGGCCGAGGCCCGCAAGGCGGCCGGACCTTGTCTTTTTCTGCCCCCTCTCCAAGGTTGGTGCACCCCGGAATGCATCATGGATGCACATCTAAATTAAGAATTTATGGAATATCTCGTGTAAATGACATCTCGGAGAGAGTAAAATATGTCGCGCGAGGGTGTGCACGCCCGAAGTCCGTTCTGTGCCCGCTGTTTTGTGCCCGCCAGACCGAATACGTGACGACATACCCCATTCCACGCTGGCTCTTCAATCAATAGGTTCTTTTCGAAACTGTGACATGACGGTGCAGCCTTTCATCATCGCCAGTTGTCCCTTTTTTCTTGGTTGTACTTCGGGGATACGTAGCACTCCCAAAGTGCGAACATGGCATTCGCGGCGGGATCTGGCCATGAAAGGTAAAGGCGATGCGAAGCGCGTATCCGACTTTCCCTTTCGCATCTTTGCATTTGGCAAGGATAAAAAGACTGCCGCTGTAAAAGAGCCCCCTCCAGGCAGCAAAAACATCAACAAACAATCCAAACGTCGAAAGCCATCGGCCAAGGAGGACAAGGGCGGGCGCGGGTTCTTTTCAATCATCGACACGGGCCGCGCGGACAGGAATTCTCCAAAACCGGCAGGGAGGGGGAAAGGCCGACGTGGGAAAAAAGATGGACAGACGGGCTGGTTTTCGTCCCTTTTGTACCCGTGGAGTGGCTTCGCCGCCTTCAATACCGAGTGGAAGGAGCAGATGGTCTTGGCGAAGCGCATCAAGAAGTTGGAGAAAGAAGTGGCGAGGGACTCCACACGCGGGCAACGGGCAAAGGTGGCCCAGTACCGGTACGACGCGCTCAAGACCTTGGAAGAGGTGGAAGCCGCGCGGGCGGGAAGGAGTAGCGGGGAGGGGGGTTCCTTCGACCCGGCCCTGGCAGGCAAGAGCCGCAAAAGCCTCCAACTCGAGGTGGAAGACGCCATGCTACTCCGACAGAGCCCCTCCGCCAAGCACTCAGGCTCCAAGGCCGGCGCCAAGAAGGGGTTGGGGCCGGGGGGGGAGGTGCTGGTGCGTCCCGAGGACGCAGACGGGCTCTTGCACCAGCTGGAGGCGTCCGCCAAGAGTGAACAGCGATGGGCTCGTTTGGCTTCTGCGGGGATCGGGGCGAGTCTGGGGGTGGCCTTGCTCCCGTCGCACGACGTGTGGGCGGGAATGGTGGGTGGAGGCCTGGCTGCTTTCCTGACCACGACTCCGGGTATCGTGGGGGATGCCGCCCGCATGGCAGGATACAGTGCAGTGAGCGTAGGCAAGGCAGCTTCGGCGTTGGAACAAAAATGTGCCGTCCTGGACAAACTTCGGGGCACGCTCTGGAAAAAGTCCGAGGCCTCGGGCCCCTTTCTGAGGTTTGAATTTCCGTTTTTGGCCAGCTGGCGCAACGCGTACGGAGGGGAGGGCTTTTTGCACCCGGGCATTCGACCGGCACCCCCCATGCGGGACGCCCAGTACGTGGAATATCTGCAGGAGGTGAAGCGTTGGGTGGAGGTGGAGGAACAAGAGGTTTTGCAGGCCCTGCGGAGGAAGGAGGACGAGCGGGTCAGGGATGTGATGGAACGGGAAGAGAGGCGGGAGAGGATGCAGCAGGTAGTGGGAGGGTTGTGGCAGGGAGGCGCGGCCGCGGCGACGAAGCTGAAGACTTTGCTGGTGAGTAGTGCGACGGAAGGCGGGAAGGAAGGGAGGTGGGAAGAGCCTGGGGGGGAGGGAGGGATGGAGGACGACCTGGCTTTCCTCAAGCGGTTCTCGGACTTGGACGTGAAGGCCGGAAGGACCGGGAGGGCCTGGGAGGAAGGCCTGGCGAAGGAGTAGGACGGGGCAATGGGAGCCAAAAGGATGCGGTGACCGCCGCCAGGAAGGAGATTTGAAGGCGATGGAGAGGAGGGGCGAGGCCAGAGGAGATAAGGAGGGCCCGGACGGAGTCGGCGGGCAGGCTGGTGGTGGAGGAGGAATCGACACGTAGGTGGCACCGAGGAGGAGAGGAGAGGCAAAGAGGAAGACGGAGGGGGAGGGGAGGATTATGAGCGTGCGAGAGGTGCATGGACCGGCACGTGTGTACATGTGTAGATTTTCGTTAACACGGGTAGGAACGGGATTTGATTCTTTGGGGGCGCGTTGGGTGGTGCGAAGCGTACGGGTGTACAATGTGTAAGCCAGGAGCAATTTCAAACTAGCCAGTCAAACCATCTCGACGCGGAAACCGGTGTCGCTCCTCGCATTGTTGACCACGCTTGTGCTCCCGTTCCGTGTTGACAGGGGCTTCCTCTTAGCCCATCATTTCTTATTTAGCTTTGCACCGCCCTCCTCTGGCCTCACCACTTATTGCCCTCATCGTCCTTGCCCGAGCTTCAATCCTCATCCACAAGCCCACTTCTGCTGGCGAGCCTTCTGGTCCGCACGCCGCATGCATATCGACATGGTTGGACGCGGTGCCAATTGCCGTGAACTTACTTACATCCACCGCCAAGACCTAATCTTTCCTCTCCTTTTTCTCCCCCCACCCTTCCGCATCTCCTCCGTCACCCTCGCTCGCCCCTGGCCCCCCGTTGCTCCTCTGTTTCTATCTCCATCAGCATGGTCGGGTCCACGTCCTGACCCTGCGCCTCCGCCAGAAAGGTCAAGATCTGCCGAGGCCCCACTTCCACGTAGGCCCTTTGGCCCAGTCGGTAGGAGAACTCGTCCCTCATAGAGCCTCCACTCACCTCGACCTGTTCCCGGTCTCGGATCAGGTACTGCTCTTTCCTCATCCGCTCCAGCGCCGTCGCCGCGTCCCCTACCCCGTCCAAGGCACCGTGAATCGCATACCCCCCCTCCGCCCCCCCCCCTCCTGCTTGGCTCTTCGACACAACTTCCAAGCCAT